ACCTACAGCGGGTCAATTAGTTCTTCAAATGATACTTTTGAGTTAATTTTATAGTTTAGTTTTGTGATATTAATAATGCTAATTTATTGATATTTTTCTAGTTTTGATTTAAGTTTGCTTGTTTAGCGTCGTCACAGTTGCTAGGTGACATCACGTACGCCAGGGTAAGGAGGGGAGGCTAGACCGTCCAAATTCAATGCCTCTTTTATACCCGGTCTTCCCGGTCTACCAAGGACCCGGCCCACCGAGACCGGGTAGCCTGGGTCCTCCGGAGGACCCGGCCTGTCGTTTTGGACACAGCCTAAGTTTTAATTGTATTAGTACGGAGCCTGCGAGGGGACACGGGGGTATTTTTTTCTTTTGTGTTCCCACGCAATACTAATGAGTTACCTCACAATATCTTTGCGTTACCTCGCAAAAGATTTTGCTTTACGTCACAAAATTATTTTGCGTTCCCACGCAAAAGTTTGTTTTGTATATGAACTGAATTGAATCAGACTTTTATTTTGAAATATTCGGTTACCAAAACAGGTTGTGTCGCCACAAGTTCGTGAAACTGACATTGATGTTTCATGGCTGCTAGAGATGTGATAAATGGCACCTTGAAGGGATTTGGATCTTGGGGAGCCGTTTGTTCTATAGAGCCGTTCAAAAGAGTCGTTCGATTATGAACGTATTACGTCATCATGTAGGAAAATACGTCATCACGTAGCCTCACGTAGTGACGTCATCCCGTCACGTGGGTGGAACCATGTGTTTGTCAAGCGGAAACCCCCTTCCCCTTTCACCATGAGCTCCTGTACTCCACAACTCCGCCTGTTTTCTGTGAAAAAGCAAAGCGGGAGCAATTTAAGAATGAAAAAAATAAAGATTATATGAGGAATAACGGAAATAAAACTATAAATGGCTCGTGACTGCCCGCAGTCCGGCTCCTATCGTTCGTTGTAAAGAGTCGTTCAAAAGATTCGGATCGTTKGCGAACGTCACATCTCTAGTGGCGGCACTGTGTTAAAATATCAGCATATGACATACTTCCATGCATGGTTGTGTGATATATTCATATTGAAGCTGGATTAAATCGGTAGGCTAACTCACTAATGGTGAACATGTGAATGTGTTAATAAACCGGCAGACACAACAGTGCTAAACAACTTTTGCGAGGTAACGCAATACTTTTGTGTGGGAACGCAAAAGAAAAAAAATCTCCCATGTCCCCTCGCGGGCTCCGTATATTAGTATATCCATTTTTAATAGTTGTTTTTAATACTGTATCATGCTTTCTTCTCATGTGCAAAAAGCTACCAATCGGGACATGAAATTAAATTTGGAGAATTTAATCCAAACTACCAGATTTCTCAACATAAAAGTTTGGATTTCCTTCAAGGTCTCGTAAGTGGGAGATTTGCCTATGATTTATTTTTAATAAAAAAGCCAAATAAATTTGCATTTTGTCCACTTTAAGTTACTCTTTATCTGGAAACAAATGTGAACTTTTGCATCAATATGTTTTATTTTTTTTTTGCATTTGAGGTAAATAAAGACAATGACAATGTTATTTTGAGAAAGTCCAGATTAACGACGTATTCTGTAGGTAATTTAAAAATTTGAACCAATTAAGCTAAGAATATTTGTCAAACTGCCAATGTTTGAAAGTTAGTTGGTGTGTGTCTAATGCAGCAGGCAGCACCTCTCTGGGTCATACAGTGATTAGGCGTAAAGCAGATAATGAGCTGAACATATGGCGGGGCTGATTACAGATGATGCAACTTTGCAGTTTGGATAAAGAATTGCAACTACAGAGTTTGTGTCAAACTATTTTAAATACTTCCAATTAAAATTAGATCACTTTACATATTTAACTAAACTCTGTGTTCCTTTTCCCCCTTTATTTCCTGTTTTATTTCCTTCT